CCCCCGCCAGCCCCGCCATACCTATTGCTGGTGCGTTGATGCAGAGCTCTCTCGCCAGGAGGAGGAAGGTCTTCCCCAGCACGTAAACGTTCACCTGTCACGAAAGAACCGCTACTGAGAATAGCAATTTAGGAAACGTTTGCTTTTTTCTCTTAAAATAGGCACTTCGTTGTTGAGTCCGCAGAGCCCAGGTAAGAGCTCCCTGCCAGCCCCCATGAGCCCACGGCAGCCCGGGGCCCTGCTTCCCAGCCCCAGGCAGCTTTCCAGGCCCCACGACCGTCTCAGCAGTGACGATTTGCTGAGGAAAAAAGCTGCCTGAGAGACAGTTAGCAAAGTGGAAGCACGCGGAGTGCAAGGTGTGTAATTCAGAGTGGCGTGCGCCCGCACGTTCGGGGCCTGCTGGCCACGGCATGCCGTGCTCCCAACGGGCCCGGGAGCCATGGCCTCGGCCCCTCGCCGGGAGCAGCTCAGTCGTGGCCGTGGGTCTCCGCAGATCTTGGCGACACGCCACCCACTCCCACCTCAAGTCCAAATCCGCTGTGGAGCCCAGCACCTGACCAACCGCAACACCCAGTCACGTGCTCCTGGACGCGACCCTCCAGTGCGGCTGGGCCTCGGCCGCCCTGAGAGCCTGCCCCGTGCCGGCCTGGGCACATTGTGGGAGGGGGGCCTCTGAGGGGTGCTTGACCACAGGCATGGAAGAAGCCAGTCCGCTCGGGTGGGGTGCAGAATTGGGAAAAGCTCAGGCTTGGTGCCCTCCCGCCCCTCCCCTGGGACTCTCAGGCCTCAGTATCCTGGCCCTGGCCCTCTGTCTCTGGTCTCCCCAGGGGGTTTCTCTGCCTAATCAAGCCTGGCCTATGAAGGCCCGGATGAGGGCCCTTTCGCCGGGGCCCAAGGGGACACCAGAAAAGGCCTCTCAGGCAGCACAGGCGGGTGCCTGCGGCTGTCCGGGAGCGCTAAGGGATGGTACAAAGCCCCCTCAGAGGACGTGGAAGGTGCCAGCTTGGGCAGACCTGCACTTCACATCCAGGCCTCCTCCTGGGAGAAGCCCCCCTTCGCAGGGCTGGCGGCTCACGGAGCGTGCCTTCCGAAGGGATTCAGCCCTCAGCCTGCCCACGCGTGCCGCGTCTCAGTGTGTCCGTGTGTGCGGACGTTCTATGAGCGCCCCAGCCTTTGCTGGGCTCCCCCAAGTTCCTGCAACTTGACCCTCCTGACTTCATGCCCGTCTGGAGCAGAGTGGAGCTCAGTGTCCCCCTCACCGTCTCCTCCCACTGCCGCACCCGCCGGTCCCCCTTCACGCCTCCCACCCTACCTGTGTCCCGAGCAGATGAAGATCTGCAGGAAACAGTCCTCTGAACAGACTTCAAATGGAAAGTCAAATTGTTGAAAGGCCACACCCGCACAACACACACGGTTATTGCCAGAGACGCTAACGTGCGCCAGCACGCGCCGGGAGCTCTGAGGTGTTTGTAGCTTGTCTCTGTGAAGGCGGCCGGTACAGCCGGGCATGGCTAGCCAGCACCCCCCATCCTGTCCACCTGGCAGATGGGCTCTCCGCCCAGACGGCCCCGAGTGCTCCTGTACCAGCCACGCCTGAGCGGGGGCCGAGCCCGGGGAGAAAGGTCCACTCGGCGAGCGTTCACACAAGAACGGATGGGAGGACCCGTGTCAGCCCCCGGCAGCCAGAGCCCCGGGCGAGACCCTCACCCGACACGCTGCCCCACACCCACAGACAAGCACACAAACACGTCCGGTGCGTGCTGCGCCCGTCCCGGCCCCAGGGAGACCCCGCTGATGGGAAGGGACGCGGCCCGGAGCCTGGGGCCGGCTTGGGGGTACTGGCCGGCTCTGCCCAGGTCCCCCCACGCCCACCCAGCAGGCTGGCCCAGGGGCCCGAGGCACACCCCTCCATCTCGGGCAATAAAAGCTCACAGTAAATTGTGCGGGTTCAGCCGGCCGGCGCAGCGGCTTCCCCCGGGGCCTCGGTCCAGCCCGGATGAGCGAGAACACGCACCCCTTCTGTCTGGCCCTGCGCTGGTTTCCCATTTCCAACGGTGTGAAGCAAGAAACCGCCAGGACACCACCCTGACCCATCCAGGCTTTGCCTAAGGGCTTCTGAGCATCTGCCCTACACCAGACGCACTCTGTCCTTTGTGGGAAGTCCCGGGACGGAACCGGGCCCGTGAGGCCACACACCCCCCTCCCCCGCCGCCCCCTTGGTAC